TTACTTAAATTATTTATCTTAGGCAAAATAAATCATAAATAAAAGCACAATGAATAAAAATTCTAACACTAATATATATGGATTATTTTTAGCATAATGAAAGCAACAAAATCACTTGCATTTTTAAGGGATAATGCTGAAGAGAATGATAAAATACTGTCTGCAATATGCACAAGGTATTCAGCTATAACCATGATTAACCTAATAAGGCTCACAGACATTCTAATGAAATGTGATTATTTATATTACATTTAAAGAGAAAATTTTTGAAAAGCTAACTTTTTTTCTTTAGTAGGTAAACTAACTGAAAATAAAATAAACTTCTAAATTCTAAAATTCAATTCCATTTCTGAGACTAATGTAAAACATAGACTATATTATTTTAAATTGATATAACCTATATGAAAACCATGAAATCTTTATCAAAATATGCTATGAAACACAAGCTGTAAACTCAAATACTTATAGAGGCAAAGTATGTGATCTGACTAAGATCAAATTTTAAGAGAACCTTGAGTGCTGGCTGGTTAGCTCAGTTGGTTAGAGGGTGGTGCTAATGACGCCAAGGTCAAGGGTTTGGATCGCCATACTGACCAGCTACCAAATAAATAAATAAATAAATAAATATAACAATAATAATTTTAAAAAAGAGAGAAGCTTCAAATCCTGATTTCTGTGTGAGGGTCCTAACTTTTAAATGTTGACTCAATTTATGGAGGCAAACTAAACATGTCTACAGGCCACATTTAGTCCACAGCCCTCGTATTTTTATATTTGCTATGAGCATGTTTCCAAATGGTTACATATAAAGCAATTATTTGCATGTAAAAATCTTTCTTTTGTTGAGTATCATGCTTTACCAAAAAAATTAGGCCATAGTATACAATAAAAATGATTATTAAGACATAATGCCCACTTCAAGAATTTTTCCAACATTCGTTAATTTACTATCTATTTGTACTTAATTCTCCCGGATTGTTAATCAAATGGATAATTAGTTCATAGGACTGTTGAACTTTTTGCTAACTTAGTGGTTTTCAGTGTTTAAATCTACCATCCTGATTATGCCACGGCTCTATGAACTTAACAGACATACTGAAATAATCTACAGTACAGCTTCAGCTAAAAAAAAAAAAGTTCAGATTTACTACTATTCTAATCCAGATAACCCTGCATGTAACAAACATTTTCTGACATGAATGATAAGATAACAAAAAGATGTGAAATCCTTATGAGTCAGCCTCTTTTGCTTATGGGTTTAAAAGACTACCTATAAGCAAATTTCTAAAGACCCTGTGAATGGCAGTGAATGACTGATGGCTGGAAAGGAAAATATGTTATTCTGTAAACCAATATTATCGAAATTGCCTATAATATTCCTTTTAACTTCCCAACCACAGAGGTAGAAAAAGACAGAAGAAGGTCAAGCTTATATTGTTGGAAGGGACAGAGTTGAAGGAAGTATCATCTATCAAACTCCAACTCCTACAAATTTCTTAAATTTTTGAAATCTGGGAATTTATATATTATACTTATTAATTCCGTGGTTCTTAACCATGAATTGTATCAGAATCTATGGCAAATATTTTTAAATGTACTTATCCAGGCCTTTTTAAATTTACTGGCTAAAAATCTTCAGGGGAGGACCCAGACTTGTAAATTGTTTCAGATTTCCCCAGGTCATTGCGATGCAGTTCTAGCTGAGAACTAACTAGTACAGCACACAATCACTTCAGTCTCATCTGTCACCCACCTGGTCAATTTCCTTTCTCATCTGGGGATTTTGGCCAAAGAGAGGAAAGAGTAAGAGACAGAATCAAGTTGACAACTCACCAGCTCTCTTTCCCAAACTGAGAATTATTATCCCCCAAATTGAAAAGCACCTTGTCAAAGGATATAAACTGGGGGAAAAAAAATACAAAAACAAAGAAAACTTCTTCGTTTTTTCCCTCAATTACCTAATTTCCAAATTGGCCTGCATATTTCTAATTGCTCTCTCCTTTTCCTTTTCCATTTTTCCATCCTAAGCCTTGCCACTGAGAGATAAGTCACTTTTACATAAATCACTTGTGTGTGTGTGTGTGTGGCTGGCCTATACAGGGATCAGAATCCTTGATCCACTTTTTTATAAAATAGAAACTTGTCAACACCAAAAAAAATTTCTATTTATTGCAAACTGTGGGTTTTTTGTTTGAGTTTAGG